AGGAGAGTCCAAGTTTGGAAGTTATCGGAGACGGCGACTTGGACCCGCTTTCCGTTACCGTTGGTGCCGAATGCGTACCATTTGTTGTCGGCCGCTTTCATGAAACTGGGATCTGGGAAATTTGTATTCAGGCCCAGCCAGGGACCTTTTGCTCGTTTTGCGAATAGAGGTGAGCCCAGGACCATGGGTAAGAGGGTTAGGGTTAGAAGAGCCCATGTGGATGTGGGTTTGATGAAAAAAGACCACATATTGGACGAATGGCCAGTAGAAAGAAGTCTGAAAGAATAAAGTTGCTGATCGTGTAGATCAAGGCTATTCAGAGCAAGGGAGGTATGTCCTTCTTATATGTGGGTTTGGCCGCCATTGTCCGAATGTAGGGGATAAGAGTCCGCATTTGATTTAGAGTAGCAAGAGAACCGAAGTAAGGCCACATGCTGGGCATCTGCTTGGCTTCCGAGGGGTACAATCACTCCGACTAGTAGAAAGGAAAGCCAGCGAAAGAAAAATAACAGCCGCAACGCCTGATATGGCGATCTATCAGCTGGCATCAGCTGTGGGAGAAGGGGTAATCTAAGCCATCCAGTCATGGGCGAGCTCGTGCTGGCACTTCGTGATCTTTTTTTTTTCTCTGAATTAATTTTTCAGTGAAGCGCAATTATTAGGCTGCATTATAGAGTACTTGTAGAGTACTTGAAAGTTAAAAGGTATCAACCTCGGGAGGAAGCTGGTAGGCATCTTGATGGCTTGTACAACATAAATGAAATGGTGGCTAAACTAAGTGAGACTATAAAAATAAAGGGAAACAAAAGAAACAAAAGCAGGCAAGATGAAACAACCGGAGACTTTGAGAAGAACCTTGGAAAGATATTTTTCTTTCAAATCGGTCATGGAGGATCCCGACCATATGCCGAAAGCACAAAGGATTTCAGCCTCGGGATTGTTTTATTTGAGTCTAAAATTCCAATTCTGGAAATGACTGGGTATCACTAGATAACTGTAAGATGACTGGGCGAGTGCCATGTGTATCCACGTTGCTGGATTTAGTATGAGACGAGTAAATTTGCCAGTATGGCTGCATGAAATATGTAATAAGCCCAATGTTGAAGTCAGCCTGTCAGCTTTGCCACAGTCATGATACAGGGTAGATATTAGGCTGGACGATCTTCTATTAGAGTTAATCTTCATGTGGGGTTGACTAGGGCTGGGGTGACTAGGGAGATGAACATCTAGATCAAATCGCCAAGCTCGGCCACATGCGGCAAGGCACCTCGGATTGGGGCAATATTGTTGTCGATCAAGGTCAAAGTTGCGGAAATTTAGTAATGTGACCTATATTGTACTCCGTAGTGTGCCACATGGATATGGAATTTCCCTGTAGGGAACTAAAAGAAAAGGGGCATTATGCAAGAGCGAGAAAAGCAGAAAGACAGAACCCAAATAATCCGGAAATATGCCCGATATGACGCCTCAACAATTTCAATTTACTCCTAGCCGATATATGTTTTGCCAAGGGAGAATCGGGAATAAGCGACAGGCCAAGTTGGGTCACACAAGGCACATGGCTTTCATGTGTTGGCACAGGTCATCGACACATGGCTCGCCTAGTCACACAAGGACTACTATGATCTCAACTTATAGTCTTCAAATTGGAACAAATAAGGCCCACCACTTCGGAACTAAATCTCCGAGATGTTCTGAACTCAACTAAAGAAAATAGGAGCATGTATAATATAGCGAAGTAAAGTTTCCCAAAGTACAAAATGGATCGACCGACCTCTTACCATTTCCGGACAGCGACCACATCAAACCGAAAAGGGCCCTCTCATTGGCAAAGTCACACATCGAGTTTGTTCTGTTATCCATTTTACCCCGCAGTATGACCACTGAGATGGCCATGAAAGGCCCAGTCGGTGACTACGATCGGCATCGGAAGCATGGGGCTGATGAGGGTGACAACATTGAGAACCCGGGTTTTAATGATCTCGAGACTGAATATGCGGGGGAAAGGTCTTCTGATTAATGTAAGGTTTGATAGGAAAGCGACAGAATGCTCGCTCTTGTACAGGATTGATCGTCGGGTTGTCCAAATCATTTCCAGCAATGCCTCGATCTCGCACAACCCAGAGGCAAGAACTATAGATTAGCACTATATGGTGGATACTGGAGGCACCTTCATGTTCCCCTTCGTAGCTTTCCACATCATGTCTGGATCTGGCCACCCAACGCCGGCCATAAGGCGCTCCTCGTTACATGGATTTTGACGATGTTGTAGAGGCTACGCCAACTGAGCTACTGAGGGGAAAATCAGGAAGAAGAATCTGCTGCATTCAATCTATCAAGAGAAAGGCCTTTTATAAAGACCACAAACAGCAATCAAAAAGGCTCAATCAGAAAAACGGGGCATCGAGGCATCTATGGGAGATGGAATCATGCAAAAACTTTCAAATCTTCCATTCTCACTTTCGGAGTGTATATTAAGATATACGAGCAATATGACGGTCCGTTTGAAGATATAAAAGCATTCTCTCTGGAGCCAGGTTCCTATGTCCTAGTCTATAGGAACCTACGAAAGATTCGTGGAGCAGCAACAGATTCTTGAGGGAAAACGAGATCGGGACCTGGGAATACAATTTGTTGGAACATACGAGGAAGCAACCGAGTTCGGTATGAGATGCGACTTTGTGCAGATAGATGGGGACCGCTGTGGCAAAGTTAGATGCATCATACAGACAGTCAGCACGCTCGAACAGTATATAATCCTCTCAAAGATGCAAAGGACTGTGAAGTCTCTTTAGGCACAATCCAATTTATCGCTCTAGGTCTTGCCATGGCCCAAGACAAATTGTCGCCTCTTTTTTCCAAACGGCACTCATGTCTCTTTGTTAGGAGTCCTCTGTTCTTAAGGTCCTGTACGGCGATTCGATACTTATCGCTCGACAGAGACTAAGTGTTTATCAAATTCTGTTAAAGTCGCTCTACGTTGATTCAACACCGGAAGACACTTTTTTCCAAGGAAACATCGGGGGTTTCCATGCATGAACCGTTTATGATGTTCATTTCGTTGTTTCGGACCTTCGTTGGAGGGTGTCATTCTTTCAGCCCATTGACTCCAGCAATTCTACAAAGTATGGTTGATATGGATATCACCGATGTTGTATTCCTGTGTGGGGCCTCGTTCTGCGCACAGTAACGGAAACTGATTTTGAAATGTTAATTCAAATATCATGTTGAAGGTCATAAGAAAGTGGGAAATAACAGTCTGGCCGATATGCAGGGCTTCAACCAACCTTTTCTCCTATACCCATTCGACCAGTGATGCATTGTATAATGAGGCTGTTCATTGCTTCCAGAATGGCTGCCTTCTTTTTTTAGTCCCCAGGGAGATCGTCGTCGGTACATAACCGAATGGCCTTTGGTGGTCCTCTAGTGCGCGATCTATGTTATATATTCCACTATTGTTATTAAGAGCCTATAGCTGCATGATTCATACTTATGACGCATCAAAAATGGAAAACCCACTAACCATGCTATGCATACCAGAGAGCATATTCACTTGATGAAATATCCATCGATGGATACTGTCAAGAGGCGAGGGAAGTGATGTAGACATTTGATCCCAGCAGTATAATAGGAAGTACGTACATAAAAGTACCGGAGGACATAGGATGAGTCAAAA